ATAATTTATTTTTCCATTCCCCTTACAGCAGTGGGGATTGAGTCCAGGTCCTTTCTTGCACATACTACACAAGTGCTCTACTACTGACTATCAGTACTAGGCCAAAACAGTAATTTTCTTTTTTGCAGTGTGAAGGATGGAACACAGGGCCTCGCATCCTAACACTGAACTGCACCCCAGCCCCTCATTTCTTTCAGGTTGAGTATTTGAAGTTAGAATTTTTCTTTTTAGCTGCATATATGAAGAAATTAAAAATTAAATGCATGACATGAAATATTTGTTCCAAAATAATTAGAGGGAGAGTAGGAGCTGTGTATAAAGCAGGAAGAGCCAGGAGTTGATTATTGAAGTTGCTGTGGTACTTTAGAGTTCACTATATTGCTTTACATTTGTGGGTTTTTTTTAATAATACAAAGTTAAAGTTTTACTTCAATTTATATGGATAAAGAACTAATGCCAATTTACCTTTAACAGATACACACAGTTCCATGAGTCCCTAGTCAGGTTAACTTGAAGCTAGCACAAACCAAAATCTTGGCACATTGTCCGAACAACCGCAAAACAAGCATAAAACCGGTGAATATTCAAACCTGTGTATCCCGCCTAGCTAACCAAGCTGAATGAAGCTGAGCGCCTGGAGAGAAACGAGGTCCACCATAATTAAATTCTCTCCGATGCTGTGAAAAAGCTAGCCTTGTTCAAAGCATCCAAGACACTCAGTTCAATTTAGGTACAGTCGGCAGGAAAGCTTGTATTGTGAAAGGGGTGGGGGAGACAGACAGGCAAGACAGAGACACTAAACGGCCAAGGAACGTAGCTGAGTGACAGTGCATTAGGCCCTATGTGCCAAGCACTCTGAAAAACAAACGTACAAACAGCCGCAAAAGTGACAGGTTCATATCCTGGGTGAGGTACATTTAGCTACTCTCACTTGACTTGGGATTCCGAAGAGAAGCGTAAAGGAGGCTAGCTTTCGACAGAAACTAATAAACACAGGCTTATCGTGTGCGGAAATTGAACTTGCATCCTAAAGAGTTGTGCAGCTAGAAAACGTCCTCCGCCTCATTCCTTCACTAGTCCTAAATTTTCCTGGATCTTGGAAAGACCTTTTCTGAGTCCACATTCGTGTCTTTACTACCCGTTTCTCTCCCCGCGTAGGCCTTTACCTCGCTCCAGTGAATCACATCGTCCAGGACCGTGTCGTCTACTATTGCCCATAGCTTGGCAAGAAATCCAGGAACCGCTGAAGTGGAGGCTTCCTCCATGGTTCTGAGGGTCAACACCACCGGGAAAGTAAAGGCAACCCAAACCACACGCTCGAGCCTCCACGTTCCCTGACAGAATCAAATAAACACCAGCAACGTGCCACAACACGAGCGCCTAAAAACGGGGCGGAGCCTGCAGCACGTGGGGGTGGGGCCTAACTGTACAAAGGGAAACCTCATTGGCTGGTTAAGCTATCACAGGCACGTGAGGGTCAAGGAACCTTGGGTAGAGGAAAAATTTTAAAGGGACAGGACAATATATCGGCAAGGAAAAATTGGCGCTCGGTTCGCGTTCGAGCTGATCTTCTGCTGGCTCTCTGTGTACAAGTGGAAGGAATTATTATAATTTTCCAAACTGCCTCATCTCTCTAGCATTGCTTAGCAACTTATGGGTACATATGGCAGTGCAAAAGACGGCACTGCATGGCACATAAAATATTGCACCATATGACATGGAAGGGGTTTGGCATTGTGTTACCTTGATGTTGCATGTAGCTTGGTGGTGAACTTAACGATATTTCAAGGCGACGTTGTGTGGGGCACAGTTTTGACCTTTTCTCTGCAGAGATGATGAGCATTCTCCCAATACATTTTTGGTGAGAAACGAGACTTGTTGATATCAACAAATAGGTCATCTGGGGTCTGGGAGATAGCTGAGCAGCACAGCGCCTGCCTGACAAGCACAAGGTTCTGAGTTCGATTCCTGGAAAAAAAAAAAAAAAAAAAAAAAAGGGGAGAAGAAATAGATCATCTAGTGAGACGGTTTTAAAGATGATCATGTAGAAAGAAACTTGGGTAAGAAAGCCCCAGTATTTTTCTTGTTTCCCTTTTCATTAGAAAATATCAGGTAGTTAGAATATTACTTGTTTTTTGAAGTTTTCTGGGATTTCAACAACTTGAATTGATCCTAAAATTTTGCACTCTCTTATACAAATACTGTTAATAGGGGCTGGGGATTTAGCTCAGCGGCAAAAGCGCCTGCCTGGCAAGTGCAAGGTTGTGAGTTCGGTTCCCGGTACCGGAGAAAAACCAAAAAAAAAAAAAAACAAAAAAACCACAAATACTGTTAATAATAATACCAATGAATAGCAGTAGTAATTATCTCAGTTTGCTTGGATTTTAGTAATTTGTAAGCACAAATTCATAGAATATTGCCAATGAAAAGACCTGAAGACTCCATTTCCTGGGCTTCAAGAGAAATAATGCTGGCCTAGTGTGTGTTTTTGTTGACTAGTGAACTTTTTTATTTGTATAGCAGTACTGTGGCTTGAACCCAAGGCTTTACACATACAAGGCAAATGCTCTAGCACTGAACCACACCCCCTCAATTTAAATAATGAATTTCTTAAGTGTAGGTAGCATGGTTTATATTTTTTAAATGGTCATTTTTTTTAGCTTCTCAGTAAAATTTATTACATTTTACTTTGCATTTATTAAGTCTTAGATATATTACACTCAAGGTAATAGAGCTCCACAGAAAGAACATTAAGGGAACTATTTCTATACATGGTGGTCTATGAAGATGCATCCTCTAAACAAATGTATTGCCTAAAAGAGAAAGAATGAAAATGTAAATTTTGTTTAAGCTTTAGTTAACCTGCTTATATGTTCTGTACTGTACCACTTTCTATTTTAGTTATTAGACATGGGAGAAAAATATTAAATTGAAAGTATCAGTTGGACCAAGAATTTCATATACCACTTGTAATTTTCTACCTATAGCTCCCCTTGGTACAGTGACATGTCTATTGTAACTACTGCTGACAGTAATTTTCATAGTATATGAATTTCTATTTTTACTTTCTTCCCCCCTTGCCACTTTATTATTTTAATTAATGCAAAATTTTATTCATAAATTCCTTGTTTCAATTACTGAAGAGATGATTTAAAAATACAGAGGCTGAGCACACAGCTCAGTGGAAGAAAACTTACCTAGAATGTGCAAGGCCCTAGGTTTGATCCTTACCACTAGAAAAAAGACAAGAAAAGCCATAAATGGGTGAATCTGCTAATCCTGAGATGATGATGATGATGACGATGAGGATGATGAGAGGATATTTAAAACCCAGATAATTTTTCACTCAAATTTCTGCTTTTGCTTTTTTTGAAAGATGGCTAGAAGAATAGAAAGAAGAACCAAAACCATCAGAATAAATACTGAGTTCCAGGAAACAGCTACTCCTGTTCTCATCAGCTGGTACAATGCTGTTCCTGCCTTAACTGTTACAAAAGAGGGAGGAGGGCCAGGGATGTAGCTCAGTGGCACAGCGCCTGCCCAGCAAGCGAGAGGTCATGAGTTCAATTCCCAGTTAAAAAAAAAAAAGTGGGAAGTGTAACACGTAGAAAAGTGCCAACGTAAAAAAAAACAACAACCAAGTTTCAATGGCACGTTTATCACAGGTGATGTAATATTAATAAATCAACTAGGAAGAAATGGTGTCATTCTGAAAAACATAATGTACTTAATGAGATGTTCTCTATGACGTTGTGTTGGTTTGGGGTGGCTTATTTTGCAAGGGGAACAACATAATACAGAACACATACTTTATATGATTATTTATAAGTCACCCAAAGAACAGTATACAAAAGAGTGCAAGAAATCTGTCCACACACTAAGACCAAGAAATCCAGCTGAGGGCCTGGATCCCACAACAATGTCCTACACGAGTTGAGCTGAATACCCAGAGCTCATAACAATGCCTCCATGAATCCAACTGGAGGCCCAGAACCCATGACAATGTCTCATGCGGACCTGTTTC